AGTCAATGAAACACAGAATGACATTCCTTTGGTACTCCTTGCTTTCAGCCAAGAGCCATCTGACATTAGCTATAAGCTGTGCCATTTCCTTTGTGTATTCGCTGGTAGCGTCTGAGGCTGTGTTGGTACTTTACATTCATTCCTGCATTTATTTCTGTATTTTTACCACGTTAATCCTATTATTCCCACTTAATCAACAAACCCAAGAAAATGCCGAGCAGTTCACTCCTGCAGGAACATGGCCTCGCTATACAGGAAGCATCCAAAATGATGTCGTCAATGACCATCTGCCAGAGTTGCTTCAATTTCAGCTTACGGTTGACATGAGTCACAGGCGACTCGATGCATGTACCAATGACAAGGAGAAGCAGCTCCCGAGTTGGGCCGTGGACCCACAAAGGCTAGAGAATGTGGGGATTACCCCTCAAACCTTGAAACTGTCACTGAGTCTTCCCTCACTGATCCCTGGCCTGGGTTTTCTGAGTGTGGTGGTGGTGGTGTGTAGAGTCAGAACTGACCTGTAGCTGAGCCTCTGGTGGGCTTTCAGAAGCAAGTTAATCGCACAGGAGGAGATTGTCCGCTTTTCTCCCATAGGGCAGCTGGTGGCCTTGAACCGCACGCCTTTGGGATTGCAGCGCAGCTTCTTGTATAGCTGGTGTGAAATATGGTGGATCCTACTGATAGAGGGTTGAGAGCAGTTGACCAGAAGGCAGCACGGGCAGTCAGTCTGACTGCAGTGGTTGGTCACTCACTCAGTAACTGATATGGAGTCAGTCCCAGGTCTTAGCGACTCTCCCCTGCATTTCTGAGGCTGTAAATTGCCGTGGGGCTCACTTTCCATCCGTATCCCTCGGAGCTGGTGGTGGATTTGAACCACTGCCTTTGGCTTAGCAGCACAACCTGCTAGGGTGACTACGTCATGAGAGCACCCTGACTGGTCACTGATGCTGTTTAAAAATTCACACAATTATGGCGAGCTCTGGTGGCCTAGTGGCAAGAAGCTGCAACTGCAATCTCAGAGATGCACGGTTCGAATCCACCAGATGCTCTGCTGGAGACGGAGGAACAATCTCCTCCTGTACTAGTCAGATCTGATTTGATGGTACACACAAAAAATAATGAAATAAAGTAAATTTTAAAAAAATTCACACAATTAAAAGCCTGAAAAAGGGATATGGCAAGAAACAAACTCTTATACGTTATTGGTGGGACTGTAAAATGGCACAACCATTCTGGGAGGCAGTTTGATGCTTCCTCAAACCACTGAACATAGAAATTCCATATGACCCAGCTATTCCACTACTTGGAATATCCCCTGAGAATATGAGAACTGAGACACAAACTGAGATTTGTACACCAATGTTCATAGCAGCATTATTCACCATCGCAAGAACATGGAAACAGTCCAAATGTCCAACCACAATGAATGGATTGAGAAATTATGGTACATTCACACAATAGGATACTATGCAGCATGCAGGACCAATAACTTTGTAAATTATTACCTAACTTGGGAGGGACTGGACAGCATTATGCTGAGTGAACTAACTCAGCCCCACAAGGATAAATATTGTATAAAACCACTATTGTAGAATGAGTATAAGGATCCAGGAGGGGTGAGAGAGGCTGGAAGCAGAGGGATGTGGATGTGCAGGGGGAGGGGAGAGTAATCATTGGGTTGTACAATTTGATGGGGGGGAGTGAGGGAAATTAGAAGATTTTGTTTAAATTTGTATTACAATTCTGTAAATAAACTAGTAGGGGGGAAAAAGCCTAAAAAAGAAGAAAACCAAGTATACAGGAACAGTCACTGTGGTCAACTCTAGGATCTGGAGCTAAAGGGGGAAAACACACCTCTTCTAGAAGTCACTGTGAATTTATCTGCTCTCATTTGGGGGGGGGGGAGGGGTGCGGAAAGGCTGCCTAACACCGGGGTTCTAAGATTAGAAGCTTGCCTCGCTTTATATCACCAATGTATTCCTGAAAAGGTGTATGCAAATCAAGTGCATGCAAATCAGAGCACATGTCCCCAGAGACTTTAATTTTCATTTCTGGGTTGCTTTATCTTCACTTCTGATTGATGTGCAGTGGACAATGGTTCCAACAATGCCACCTTAAGTTTTTCTGTCCTTTCCCCAGGCTTGTAGCCAAGTGGTTAATCATGTGTAAACAAACCTTTACATGCACCAGAGACCTCCTGATTAAAAACAGCTCTGGGGAGGAAAGCTTTGCAAAGAGCCCTCAGTGTAAAGAGAAAGTGACCCCGACTTCTATTTGGTGAGCTGGCAAGTTCATACAGCATGTTTTCAGAAGGAGAGGGTTCCCCATTACAAATCATCTTTTCCATCAGTCAGTTTACATTCAGAGGAACGCTGGCCTTTTGTTAAACCCCAGAGCCTGTTCTGTGACTGTGTGGGTGGTGCATTAATTCAGAAGCCACCAATGTTGGCAGAGTCTGAACTTAGGATCAACGCAAAGCTTTCAGGGACCCACGGACTCCACATATTTTCTGTGGACAGCACCTGCCACTTTAATTTCATGCTCAAATGGGTGCATGCTCCAATAATACGCCAGGAACTTATTCCAGAAGCCCCCCCCATGAGGAAGAAGCCCAGAGAAACCCTTCCTCACCTGTCGCCACCACAAGTCCTGGGGCTGTCTCCTTGCTAGAAATTCTTCCCGAGGAATATGGATTTTCAGAGATCTGCAAATGCAGGTGTAAGGAGCAGAAGGGCTAAAACGAGAAGAGAAGAGCATCAATCCAGGAAACCCTGAAATGTGCCCCAGTCCCACCAGTGAGGACTGTTCAGCGCTCAGAAGCAGCAAGGTGTAAGGTGACGAGTCACAGAGTTCATTACGGGCCGAGAGGATCTCTACTGAGACAGTACAACCATTCCCAGCTTCCCAGCAGCTGCTCTGAGGACCACTAATAAGCCTACTCTATCCTCCATTCCCAATCGTACGTCTTCCACTCTCTCCCTCACTCTCACCCCATTCGGCCAACGGTCAGCTCACAGTCTGCCTTATGAAGATTCCCTACTCTTTCTCTGTCCCAGCCCAACACTCTTATTCAACACTCATCGCCCTCCTGTATTTCACCTTGCAATTCAGCAGGTATCAACTATGCTTTCTGAAACACCAGAGATAAGGAGCCTTGGTAGTCTAGTGGTAAGAAGCTGTGCTGCAATCCCAAACGCACATGGTTCAAATTCACCCACTGCTTCAAGGGAGGGGGCAATCTTCTCCCACGTGATTTACTGCCTCTTGAAAATTTGCTGTAGGGTGAGCTAAGGGTTGCTTCCAACTCAATGGTACACAACAACAACAAGTAGGCAGGGACGGAAGAGGGGAAATTAAGGACAAGAGTCTTTAGGTCCTTGACTCTTCTATCTGACAATCTCCATTTCTCTATGTTTAATGCATTGGTTTTCACCATTTCTCTATGTTTAATGCATTGGTTTTCGTTTATACTCTCTTAGAATATTTAAAATCACTGTTCTAAAACTTATGTAAGTTCATATTATTTAACTTCTTTTTTTCCCCTTAGGATTTAGGGCTTTCTTAAAAGGAGGTCTGGACTCACAGAAATATTAGATAGTAAATAAATATGTCATCTTACATAGTAAATAAAATGTTACATGTTGTGTTGTTGTTGTTGTTGATTGCCTTCTAGTCAAGCACAACTCGTAGTAACCCTATGAACAAAAGGCCTGAAGGCTCTCTACAAGTATGGACATTTCAAACTTCATAGAGTTTCCAGAGGCATGTTATTTAAGAAGTGGATGCCACTCTTGCTGTGTTAGTAAATAAAAATGGAATGTTACATAGTAAACAAAAAGAAAAGATCCTGCTGTGACCAGCCACTCAAGACAAGCAGTCATCAGTCTCTGAGCTTCCTAGCACCCAAAGCAAAAAGAGGAAAAGGGTTTTAGCCTGAAAACTGCCAAGAGGAAAGGCCCTCCTCAGTCCTGGTGCCTGGGTTTTAGCATACTGTGTGGAGCAAATCTTTGTGAATGTAGTGATAAAAGATAACGATGGGCTAAAAGAAAGCCCGGAATATAAATACTCTTTATGGAACTTTCAAATAATGTAATATGTAGATTTCCATTGAAGGGACAATGAGATTATGAGTTGTGCTGTTACCTTTCTTCCGGCCTCATCTGAAGCTGCACCCTGGGGTGGGCTGAAGGATGGAGAGGTAGGGATGGCATCTTGTACAAGTTCGGGTCCTCTACAGTGTCTACCATGCTGATTTGATGCAGCAGGGACCCTGGCGGTGCAGACAGATTAAGCAACTGCCCTGCTGGACGCAGGACCTGACCAGCCTTCTAAAGCAGTCCTGCTCACCTGGACCTCTGACATGCAGTGATCACACTGTGAGATCACTGGGTAACAGGTGTGTTACTGTTACTGAGTTCCATCCTTCATTCTTAACACATAAAGTTCTCTAACGTATCTATTTCTAAACCTTAAATACAGCTGGGGGCTTACTGAATTCTTAGGAAAAGCCTAGGAGACGAAGTAACCCCAATTAGTGTGGCAGCATGTGCTGGGACCCATGTGCTAGGGGTTGTGGGAAATTCCTGGATAAAATTAAATGACCCTTTGACAGACACAAGCCCGGGACATGACATCCCCAGGTTACCAGCCTGTTCTGTGAATTTTTAACTCCAGCAACTGACCAGCAGGCAGTGTACTGGGCTCCCTCTCAGGTCCACATCCGGGGCTTGCAGCAGGCGCCAATCACGGCCCTTGTTGTATGTGATGTAGGTCTTCACCTGCTCATCCACCTTCTTGTTTGCCAGGAATATCCCTTTGATACCTGCTACCTAGGAAAAAGGGTGAGAGATGGGGAACCATGGTTGGTGGCCAAAAAGCCTGTAACCTTAAAGAAGCCCTTTCCTACCAGTCTTCCCGAGGTGGTGAGGAGAACAAATAAACAAGCAAAGACAAAGAGAAGAAATATGTGGAGAATGCTACATGCCCCAAGCAAAGGGGGGGGGGGAGACCCACTCCCACACGTTACATACACACTCTGCCATTTGTTTGTCCCTCTCACATGGATTTGTCTTCCTACCAAATCTCACCCTAAGAACCTTAACCTGATTTAATGATCAGTTCTTTCTCCTTAACAATTTAAGGAGCTACCCTGCCAGACGGTATGTGCTTTTTTTGAAGATACTTGTAGAAAACCTGTCAAGGCCTCAAAGGGTAATAATCCTTCATGTCTGAAGTCCCGGTAACACAACTGGTAAATTTTAGGGACAGATAACACAGCGAGGGGGCACAGCACTGCTCTCTGTCTACACTCCCAACTTGCTGTCTGACCTTCAATAACTCACTCATTGTCCTTGGGTCTCAGCCAAAGGCTACTCGGACACAGGCCGAATGAAGCCTGTCTTTCCCTCTTTTCTTCAGTTGGCGGGTAAAGGAGACATGACATGATGCAGAGAGCACTAGCCAGGATCCCCAGTTTACTGGGATTTGCATGCCTTTGATATTTTAAAGGGAGAAGAGGGTCACCACAAAACAAGCAGCCAGGGGATTAGAAGAGATTTCTCATCCAGAAGGGTTCCTGGCTGAGCAAGGATCCATCCCAAACGGATTCCACTCAGGACACACTGAGCATTGAGAAGGGACATTAGGATGGTGCCTCACATCAAAGGCCCATCCCTTCAAATTCCACCGAAGTTCCAGCGTGTTCCAAAGTGGCAATGTAACCCAAACTCTTTAAATACATAGAAACAAAAGCATGAGTGGAAGGTCTTCTGGAAATGCCTCTGATATCTCAACATTTTCATCCATTCTCCTTGGAGTATGTCTGAGTCAGCAAAGCACCCACGTGGGAGGGAATTTCACAAAAGAGAACGTTCAAAAAATGTTTTAAATTGATGAAATAAGCTTTCTTTTCTAGTGTGGTTTTTTTTCTTTTTCAAGTAGACCATCGGTCTCTGAAAGACCAATAAAAAAAAAATTTTAAAACCCCAACCAACTCAAAATATAGACAGAGGGTGTCAAGTATATAGAATTACCTGGGAAGGACAGCATCAGAATCTGACAAATGGCCAACAATGACATTGAGTAGATTACTAACTTAAACCCAGTGGAAGGGAGGGAAAGAAGCCACGATCGGAAGACAGCAGTGGTGCTGAAAGCCAATGCCTGTGTCAGAAATACTACCACCTCAGATGCTCTCCCAGAGCTTGTGAGATCCTCAAATCATCTGTCTTTAAAACTAACTGGAAAGATGTGTGCCTTAAACCTCATTCCCAATCATTCTCAAGGTAGAAGATCTCGTATCTCCAGACTTCCTGCCTGGAAGGCCTATCGGTTTTCTCTATGACCCTAAAACAGAGCTCTCCTCCCAGGGTAGTCCCAGGAGAGCTGTGCTCTTAACCCAAGAGTAGCTCCCCTCTGGCTGTTCAAATCTACCAACTGCTTGACGAGAAGCAGCCAGCCTCCTTCCAAACACCTGCTGGAGGATCGGCTATGCGTGGCTTCCGACTCGACGCCAATGACTTGAGCGGAGTCGATGGCCACAGAGCTGGTGTAATTTCTGCATAAGCACTAATGATAGACTCCGCTAAGCTAGCTGGCCCCTCTCTAGCATGTCCTCCAGAGCCTTGTTAGCCTCTTTTGGGAAGAAAATAAGACTTGGGTCAAACTCTGTGCTCATGATTCATTCGTGTGGTTTCTGCCACCCCAGCTCCCTGTCTTCTCATCAGAGACTTTCCTGCTTTGAATCCCCACCTCTTGTGCCTCTGGGAATGGCATGCTCACCAGACGAGATGAGTATTACTAGGTTTCCCTCTGACGGCTCCACCCCTCCAATAGGCATGTCCTGTGTCCCATCCAGGAGCAAAGTCACCGGAATGGGGACTAAAGAGCTGACGGAAGAAGAGGTTACCAGGGAAGTCCACCTCCCACTATGGAGACATTTCTCCTGCTGTTTCACGTAACACCACAGCAGTCGCTGTCTCCAGCCTGAACACTTAGTCTCCATTTGTACTGGGATAGTTCAGAGCCCTGACATTATTACAAAATTGCTTCTTGGCTTCATGTCTTACATAAATGGATTATAAGTTTAGAGAGCACTCTGCCTTTGTGTACCCTAAGCTGACAGCTTTCAAAACCTTTTGACTGCAACAAGCAAGAAGTGTGCTTATGCTAGTAGGCCACACCTACGTGCGCACATAGGGCATGTGTGTAGATACGTAGATCTACATGACAGCCTCATGATATGAAATGCTATGTTCTCTTATGATATGTCATATGGAAGAGTTAGAAAATGAGACATACATTTTAACTCTTCTTCATCCAAGAAGATTCTCTGATAGACATGAAACAGCCTTCTTCCTTCTGTTGTTTGCGATTAGAAGCACGGTGCTGATGCTGCTTCTACTTCCAGTAGCCCGGAGAGAAGGGCACCAGCATGGGACGGAGCCCATCTGAGACGGTGGGGTCAAGCGTTAGCCTGCATGCCCCATTTTCCCTCTGGGAATCAATCTGAGGTTCAGAGGGAGCCTGACAGCTGGCCCCTTGGCAGAGCATGGAGTCCAGGTGGTATGGGCATCTGTTGCTCACCTTCCTGGGACCTGGGGATATGGAGGCCAAGGGCCTGCTGGGAAAAGCAATTACCATGGTCTGCCTTGGGCTGTCCCCAAAACCCAACCTGTGGTGAGGGCCTGTGAAAGGTCAAATGGGGACAAAAGTCCTTGTGAAGTCTAGGAGCAGCTGTCGACCTGCCCAAGGCGCAGAAAGAGGTCATGGCGAAGCTGGGGCTGAGAGGAGACATTAGGTACAAGGGAAACATGGACATATCACTGAAAAGTCAGAGACAGGACACTGAAGATGGCTCAGGGCGCCATAGATCTGCTATGGACTGAATTGAGTCTCCCAATTTAAAGTCTGGAAGCAGGAGTGGCATCCAATTCCAAAACAGCTTGCCTCCAGAAACTCTATGAACTTGGAGAAACGATGAAAGTTATACAAGCATTCTGGTCCTTGATTCATAGGGTCCCTATGAGTCGTCCACAACTAGACCTCACTTAACAACAACAATATCCTAACTCAGGGAGGATTTGTAAGGGAGGAATGTATTATAATCCTAAAGGAGCTCTGGTGGCCTAGTGGTAAGGATCTGCCCTGCAATCCTAAAGATACAAGGTTCAAATCCACTGGTTTCCACAGGAGAAGGTTGGGCAGTCTCTTCCCTTGTAATCACAATTACTGCCTCTGGAAAAGACTCCAGGGCATTTAACAACAAATTCTAACCTCTATGTTTGGATTTTAATCCCATTTGGAAATGGGTTGTCTTTGTTATGTTAATGAGACAGGATTAGGGTAGAATGTGTTTAGAGCCCATCTCTTTTGCGTATAAATAACGTGAGCAAGCAGAGATGGGATAAGATAGACGCCCAGCCACATGAAGAAACAGGAAGGCTGCTGAAAAGACACTGGCTAATCATCTCCTAGAACCCTGCCCTGAATTTGGACTTGTAGCCTCTGGAACTATAAGAAAATGACTTTCTGTGTGGGTACTTCTGTTTTAGCAACACTAAATAATTATGACAACATCTCAGTATAGTGAACTCAAAATAATTGGTTCTTAGGAAAACACAAGTTAAAATCACAGTCAGATAGCACTTCCCACCTAACAGACTGGCTAACCACACCTGCATGCACACTATACACACTGAGGGGGCACACAGCGACCGTACTAAGTGTCCCTGAAGACATGGACCAGCCGAACCTTCTTTATATTGCGGATGGCTATGTAAAATGGCACAGCCACCTGGGAAGAAGTTTTAGAGTTTATTTTATAAGTGAAATGTCTATTTACATTTGACTCGGAAAGACAACTGCTAGGTATTTGCCTATAAGAAGCTAAATGTATGTTTATGTTAATATGCATTGCAGCTCTATTCATAATCACACGAAACTGGAAAGAACTTATACGGCCCTCAAACCAAGGAATGAGTAAAGCTGTCACACCCACAGAAGGGATCAGTATCTTTATTGCCTTCGAGTCAATTCTGACTCATAGGAGTTTCAAGATGTAATTTGTTAGGCTGCGAGCTGAAAGGTTGGCAGTTTGAATCTGCCGGCCACTTAGAAGGAGTAAGATGGACAGTCTCCTTCTGCAAAGATGTGTGGCCTCAGAAATATGACGAAGAGATTCATGAGATAGAACGAGCTAGAAGGCAGTGGGGGGGGGGGAGATCTTTCTAAAGGCAGGGCACCATGATGTTCTTTGATGGGCTGTTTGAACTACTAACAGCTTAATACTTAATCACTGCACTACTTAGGCTCTTTAATGGAGCATCGCCTAGCAGTCTTAAGGAACAAGGTATCAATAGTATGGATAAACCTCAAGTGTACTATGTTAAGTGAAAAATGCCAGACTCACAAAACGACCTACAGCATTAAGGCGTTCGTGACATTCTAGAAAAGGCAAGACTAGAGAGGAGACTCAGATCTGTTCGTAAGTAGACAGAGGAGGAGTCACTTAAAAAGAGCGGGATCCCAGGGACTCTTTGGGGGATGGGAACTGCTCTATTGTGGTCAGTGGTCGTGGTGGGAGCTACACAATTTCCCATAGCCATCAACATTCACAGAAATGTCTGCTGGGAAAGAGCAAATTTTAATGTCTAAAACAATATTATCTAGGAACTTAAAACAATACTCTTTAAAAAACATGAAAAAGAGTACAGTGGGATGAGCATAGCTTTTCAGTCAAGCAGACATGATTTCAAACGTGGCTGTTACTTACTACAGGTGTGACCTGGGCCAAGCAACCAAATTCACCGGATCTCAGTAATTACATGGG